CGCAGGGCAGATGGAAGGAAGGAAGGAAGGAAGGATGGAAGGAAGGAAGGAAGGAAGGAAGAAAGGAAGAAAGAAAGAAGGAAAGAGAGAGAGGGAGGAAGAAAGAGAAAAAAGAAAAGAAACAAATTGTGTACTGGCCAGTGTGCCTCAGTTGCTTGGGCATCATCCCATGCACCAAAAGGTTGCTGGTTCAATTCCTGGTCAGAGCACATGCCCAGGTTTCGGGCTTGATCCCCAGTATGGGGTGTGCAAGAGGCAGCCGATCAATGTTACCCTCTCACATTGATGTTTCTCTTTCTCTCTACCTCTCCCTTCTCTCTCTAAAAATCAATTAAAAAATAGAAACAAATTACTCTGAGAGCTCAGAGAAGGATTGTGCCAACAGAAGCCACATAGGCTGTCATCCCACAACAGATGCTGCTCAGGTAGCTCCAAACGCGCTTCTGGAAGGCTGAGTACGCAGGCGGCAGAACCAATGTTCACCTGGAGAGAGGGGCTGCCGGGAGCTTCCTGGACCTCTCGTCACCTGTCAGTCACAGCTTCCTGCCTGCCCGCCCCAGGAATGCTCCCCCTTCCAGGTCACCACTGCAGAGGCTCTGGCTGGGCCCTTCCCACCTCTCCCTGCCATCACACCAGCCCCTCTGTGCCCTCCCCTTGAGCTGTTCTTTCAGCCCAATCTTCTGAGGCCTCAGCAGAGCCACTGAGGGAAGGAAGCAACACAACTTCTCTAGCCTCCGGAGATGCTCATGGCAAGTCCTGGCCATTCCCACCTCTTTAGTGTGACAGACTCACCCAAGGGTTCCCCATCCTTGCTGGGAAAAGTGCCATGCTGGCCAAGAGGAGAAGGCAGAGAGCCACTGTGGTTCGAGTCTGCATTTCTGTTTAGTTGGGGTCCTGTATCTGCAGTGGCCTGGTGGTGTCAGTGTGAGAAGTGATTGCCCTGCTAAAGAGCTGTTGGAGGCCCTGCTGATACATTCGAGTCCCAGCGCTGCTGGCTGACTCCAAGCTCTGGGCCCAGCTCACCTGGATGGGGCCACTGGCCACACCTTGCTGACCTCAAATATGGTCTCAAGGCTTAAGGCTTTCACTCCCCTCAGTCCAGGACGTGTTTCCTTTGTGATTATTAAATTCACATAGCCTTGGCCCTTTCGCCATAAAAAGTTCAAGGTCCAAGGGATGGTACCTTGGTTCCCTTTGCCTTGGTGTCAGCAGCTAACTCTGGCTCACTTCCCAGGGGCAGGATCGATGCCTCCACCCCCACTCCACAAGGGGAACCTTCTCCTGACTCCCTGGCTCCTTCTCATAAAATCCCCCATGAGCAGAGGTTTCCATCTACTGTTTACATTCTGCTACAGTTGATGACTTTTTCAAAAGCTTTACTATCTTCTAATTAATATATATTTTATTTATATGTGCTTTATATATAATTATTGCAATTATATATACATTTTATCATTGCATTAGAAAATAGGAATATGATGTGTTAGAAAATATACTCATAATCTTACCCTCTATTGATAATCACTATTATTATTTTGGCGTATTTCCTTCCAAACTTTTAACATGTTTTCATTCATGTACTTTTTAATAAAATATGATTATTCTATATGCCCTTTTGTTACAGTGATTTCCCCCTTGACTATGTATTATAAATATGTCTCTTTGTCAGTAAACATACACTGAGTGGCCAGATTATTATGACCACCCCATCAGTACAATGAAGTGAATTAGTTATGCAAATAATAATAATAAAACCTTGAGAGTATTTGCTTAGGACATTTTCAATATTTAGTATTTTTGGAAGTGTCATGAAGTACTGATGGGGTGGTCATAATAATCTGGCCACTCAGTATATGTCCACAGCATGATTTTGGTGACTGTTTAGTATTTCATCGTATTGATGGGCGAGATGGATTCAACCTGTTTCCCATTATTAGGTACTTTAGATTGTTTCTGTTTTTCTTTTATATTAGAGAGGCTACTATAAACAACATCTGCTTACCTATATTTTTGTGTGTAGCATTTATTATTTCCTAAAGATAAATGCCTAGAGGAGGGGTTATTAGGTCAAAGGGCACAAACATTTTAACATTGTTTCATAGATACTGCTAGTCTGCCCTCCAAAACACACTGATTTTCCTTCCCATTAGCAGTGGTGAGCAGGCCACTCTCCTCACTCACCAGTCTGGGTTTTATCACTATTTGCCATCCCTGCTAGTTTGCCTCAATCACTTGCCTTGGCAAAGCCTGTCTGGGCTTTCTCTGGAGGTCAAGGGGGGCACTGAGGTTGCACTGATAGGACCGTGTCCTAGGCCTCGCCCGGGCAATTGAACCAGAGCCAGGGAACCACCCCAGGCCGGAAGGACGGCCTAGTTTCTGCAGCAGACTGCCAGTGAGCTGGAGCCCTCCTGACCCTGGAAGTATCACAGATAACGCTCCTGTAGCGTGAAGGCTGACTCTTACTAGTAGAGTGGGCCCCATAAAACCCTCAGATACACACAGACACACTCACTGATACTCCTAGAGGGACACACCCAGACACAGAGACACTGATACAGATAGAGATATACAGAGAGAGATACAGGCACACACTCACTCATCCACAAATGCACACAGACGCACATAAGCACTCACATAGACATGCAGGCCCTAGTCAGGTAGATCTGTGCAACCTTCCACATACTGGCTCCCATTTCTCTCCAGAGCCAAAATCTAAGCCTGCCTTGGAGGAGTGGACATTTCCTCTGTTCCTAATGGCCACCTCCTCAGAAGGAGAGAGGGAGGGAATGGGAGTGCTCCGAGAGTGAAGAGTAGGCCCTTCGGCCAGAGGAAGAGGGACTGCCAGATGCATCATTCTTCAGAGGGCCCTCTGGCTTTCGTCCAGCCCCACCCTTCCCCAGAGTGAGAAATCCACACAGCCAGGGGGACACGCACACTCAGATCCCTGGCCTTCCTTCCAGACCACACGCAAGTGCCTGGGACCCTGGAGTTCCCTGAGTCCAGGGCCTCTTCCCCGCTCATCCTCCCTAGAGGGAGAGTGGGCCTCTCTGCCAGCGTGTGCACCTGGCCTGAGGGGTGGTCCAGGGCAGCTGTGTATGGGCGTGGAAGGCTGCATTGTCTGCTTACATGCAAGGGTCCTCTGCAGGATGATGGGAGGCCAGAAGGAGAAGCGATGGGAGTCGTTACTATAAACTGGGGTGGGGGGTATCTCTCCCCAAGTCACCAGATTTCAGCACAGAACTCAGAGTAGTCCAAGAATGATAAATTCAAACTTTGCCTTCCACGTCATTTTTTTTATTTTTTCTTCCCGCACCCCCCACACTCCCTTCCCCCGGAGAATTGTCAGTCCACTCCCTTTCTATGCTTCTGATTCTATTATATTCACCAGTTTATTCTGTTCATCAGATTTTTTCTTCACTTGATTTTTAGATTCACTTGTTGATAGATATGTATTTGTTGTTACCCAAGTCATTTTTGATGGTCTATTTTCCAAAGTGGGAGAATTAAACATTTTTATCTTAATAGTTTGTTAGTTTGATTTATAACCTTTAAATATTCAGAATACTTAGACATATGGTATGTGGGCCTCCCCTTGTATGCGTGTCCCTGGTCCTGCGCATGTTGAGGGCAGACCTGAAAGAGAGGTTAGGGCTGACAGAAGAGAAAGGGAAGTGGCTCTGTGAGCCCGGGCAGCCTGCGCCATGAGCCCGGGCCTGGTGAGGCTGCCCTGCTGGCGCGGCTGTGAATGGTGCCCCTTCCTTTCAGATCACGTTCAGGAAAGACCACCTGGAGGCCTGCCTCCTTTCCCTGGGGTGTGATGTGATGGCGCGGGAACGCAGCAACTTCGAGAGCTACTCCATGTGTTACGAGCATGTGCTGGAGCACACGAGGCTGAAGCTCTGTCAGACGGAGCAGGTATGTCTCCCAAGACCAGAAGCAAGGGGGGAGGTAGAGGGAGGGGGGCCCTGGAGTCACTCTGAAGAAGAAAGTGAAACAGAGGGTGGGGAGAGGTGTTTTTATGTAAGAACTGAGGGTGGATGGCACGCTCCAAATTCCTCTTCTCATTGGCTCATTTTCTCCTGCTGGTATTCTCAGCCACAAAGGGGGTGGTCCCAGCAAGAGTGGGTTGTGTGGGTTGGAGGTGTCTAGTGGGAATATAATAAGAGGTGAGCAGCTAAGGAGCTGGCCCCCCAGGGAAGATGCATAGCTGACCTTCCCACCCTTGACAAACACGAGGCACCTGGTGCTGTTCTGGTCTAGCAGAGAAGCCAGGATCCTTGAGTCAACGCATCTTCAGGACGCACATCATGGGTCTCAGGATGAGGCTTCCTTAAAATGAGACCCCACTGCGGGCCCCAAGAGTCGCTTCTCCTGTCCTAGATTGCATTCTTTTTGAAATGGATTGCATTGGAGGTTCAGTGTCATTTCAGTGCATACCTAAAAACAGTGCAAAGGTCTGAACAAATGAAGCATTAAAATATCAAATCATGAGTCTTGGCTCTGGCCCCCAGCTTGGCTTGTCCCCGTAGCTGAGTCCTCTGTGTCAGTGTGGATACCTGGAAGTGCATGCTGTCTTTTGATGCTGGACTGGTCATCCTGAAGCACAGTCCTGGCTCTGGGTGGGGCCCAAGGATCTAAATCAGCGGTTCTCAACCTGTGGGTCGCGACCCCTTTGGCGGTCGAACGACCCTTTCACAGGGGTTGCCTAAGACCATCCTGCATATCAGATATTTACATTACGATTCATAACAGTAGCAACATTACAGTTATGAAGTAGCAACGAAAATAATTTTATGGTTGGGTCACAACATGAGGAACTGTATTTAAAGGGCCAGAAGGTTGAGAACCACTGATTTAAATGAAGCTCCATGAACACAAATCGGAAGTGTCTGGAGCATGTGGTGCTGAACTGGGCCGTGGTTGGAAGAGTACATGTTTGAGTTTAGTTGTGCACTGCTTTCTTCTCTTCAGGAATTAGATGTTTTACGAAGAGGTCAGAGTCCACCTGAGGATAATGCTGGCCAGGTAGGTCGGCTATTACTAAAAAGTTTCTCTTCTCCATTTCTCAGTTCCACAACCCCAGCGGTAGCCACGCCTGGGACTCCCTGGCGTTGCTTTCCCGTGCCCCCTCGAGGAAAGCTCCGCCAGTGAGGGTGTGCTGCAGAAACATCCGAGGGCTGACGTTCACTTTTTAAGCAATGTGGGCTTTTTTGTTTGTTTTATTCGGTATTTTTTGTTATTTTTATTGATCTGTTTTTTCTTTTTGTTGTTATTTTTGGGTTTGGGAGAGAGGGGTTGTTTGTTTTCTTTTGAGATCGGTTAAAGTGCAATTCCAAAGAAGAAGAGGTGTGTAGGCTGAAGTATCAAGGGGCATTTGGACATGGAGGCCAAGAGAGTTGAACTCTTTCCTCCAAATGAAAAGCAGTTAACTAGTGTATCCTCTGGGGTCATTCATTCAGCAGCCATTTGCTGAGCACCTACTCTGCGTCTGGTACTGTTCTCTGACCCTCAAACCCACCTAGACTCTCCCACCCATCTTCGCACAACAGGATACTCACCTTGTACATTAGGCTTAAAGGAGAAGTGCACAAGGTAGTGGCAGTTTGGAATTCCCAAACTATCTTCCATTGAAAGAAAATGTTTCTGCTGCTAGGTTGCGGAGCTCAGTCATGATATGATCATGGAAATCACTGCTCTGAGAGCCCGCCTCACGGATTTGGAAGAGGAGAATCTGAATCTCGAAAAGCAAGTCAGAAAAGAAGTGCAAGAAGAATATGCAGATTTAGTCAAAACCTTGTTTATGGGTTGTTTACACATGAAAGTAAGTGGCCTGGGTCGGACACCAGGGCAGTCCTGTGGGGAGCGGGTGCAGCTGGCCCCATGGCGCTGCACACAGCGGGGTTGAAGACCGAATGGCCATAAGAATTTTCCAGCTCTGAGCTTTCTCTACAGAGAACAAGTCATCAATGGGTTGTCATTATTTTATGAGAATAGACACTGAATTTTAGGTAATTTAGAAATTTGCTCTTTTCCTCACTCTACTGCCAGCTGAGGGAAGGAAGGGGGAGTCTTCTTCTCCAATGTCTATTCAGTGTGACCATCCAAGCAGAAGAGGACAGTGCCCTGGGCCAGGCCAGAAAGCTCGCTGGGCAGATTCAGAATTTGGATCATCTTTCGAGATTTTTCCAGCCCTCAAAATGCCCACCAGCCTTTCTCTACCACCCGTGTCAGGGAGCGGCTGACCCGTGAGTGAGGCCCATCTGGAAGAGCAGCGATGGGTGCCCATGTGCTCACAGCACTGAGGAAGCCTGTCGCTTTCTCATGACGTCTGAGCAGCGGTAGATGGAGGCCTGGGTGCCTAGAATGGGTCATCGCAGAGCCCGGGCCAGCTGTCCCACAGCACAAATCTCAGTTCAAACCCACCACCCTCCAGCCCACTGCCCCCTTCCCCACATTAGACATTCCCAGAGCCAGCCCCAGCAGGTCCTTCCCTATCTCTCCGGGGAGTCCAGGGCTGTCCCAGGCTTATCACACTGAGAGGAGCTTCTGCTGGTGCCCCGCCCTGGCCTGGTCATTCCAGAGAGGGCTGGAGAGTCCTTCTCACCTGTGAAGGGCCCACGGAGTACAAGTGCTTACAAATATTAAAGGATCAAAACCAAAATGCGTGGGCCTGACGCTGCAGGGGAGGGGTGAGCAGACAGTGAAGGCTGGAATCTGCTAAGCCATCTTTCGAGTGTGAGGTTGTTGAAAATGTCTTAAGTTCTTTGTAGCTCCTGCCAGATTCCTAGACAGAAGGTGGATTCAGTGCTTCTCCCAGGCTAAACTAGTTCTACAAACCCCCCAATTCTGCCATCGGGTTGACTCAGCAGAATCTGACCTGATAAAACACTGGATTAGTCACTAACGGGGAAGTCCCTGTTCTGCCCCAAGGTCTCAAAAAGATGGTGAAGCTTCTGTTGTGTGGCCAGCAGCCGGCTCCCCGCTGTGGCTCCCCGCTGGGCACTCTCCTCCTGCCTTCCTCCCCAGGGAAGTGGTTCAAAGGTGAGAAGGCTCCCCACTCTCACCTTTAACTGAAGAACATTGAGTTTCCAGTGATCAAGTCATTTCACCATAAGCCATTCAGAACAGGCTGTTTATGAGTGAGATTTCTGCTGGAGCCTAACTAGGAAGGCAGCCAGCCCGATTCCTGCCTCTGCTGTATCTATGTCTAATGGACTTCCCCGTTAGTGACTAATCCACTGTTTTATCAGGTCAGATTCTGCTGAGTCAGCCTGATAGCAAAAATCCCTAAATTTAGTTCAACTGGTACGGCTCAGTGGTTGAGCATCAACCAATGAACCAGAAAGTCATGGTTCAATTCCCAGTCAGGGCACATGCCTGAGTTGCAGGCTCGATCCCCAGAGTGGGGCCTATAAGAGGCAGCTGATTAATGATTCTCTCTCTCATCGCTGATGTTTCTACCTCTCTCTCCCTCTCCCTACCTCTCTGAAATCAATAAAAACATATTTTTTTTAAAATCCCTGAGTTTAAATGTCTAAGTAACCACGTGGGGGAGGGGGCAGTTTTCCATCTGTGATCTCCCACTCTCCTGCTCACTCGACTTGCCTTGGTGTCTGACAACTAGGCAGGCTCTCAGGTGGTGAAGCCCTGCGGGTTGAAGACCACACTAACGGGGCTGCTAAAGCGACATCCGGGTAATACCTGATGAAATAATTGTCTGGGTGGGTGGATGCTTTTTTCATGTGAAATCATTTCTGAAAGTTGCGTTTTAGAAGGCAAAACGACTCTTCCACAACTGCCCTTCCTGAACCTGAGTCTGCAATTTGCAGGAGAAGTTGCATGAGAATCAGCTTAATTTGATCCAGAAAGTGTGTGAGCTCATCAGCGAAGTGAGAACAGAATGGATGGATCACATGAAGGACCTAAAGAAAAAATGGGGCTCTGCCAGACCTGATGAAGGAATGAAAGAAAGCACAGCCAAAGTATGTGATTTCATTTAGCAATGGGATATCAGCACTTCTTCCAGCGTCTGACCCCACCGCTCACTCTGCATTCCAGTCGGGTTCCCTGAGGAAGCAATGAACGCCTTAGGCATATTGAAAGGGCACAACTGTGTCATCTTCTGGAAGGCATGTTTCTGACGTTAGGGTTCATGGTCTCCCAAGAAAAGCGTTGGGGGCAGCCTTTTCTGAAAGTGAGCCTTCTTCACAGGAGCAGCTGCGGGACTTGGAGCAGGAGAACTGCAGCCTGGCCGCCCTGGTGTGCAAAGTGAGGAGCCTGGGCCGCTGGAGGCTGGCTGTGCAGCAGGCTCGCTTCCGGGGCCAGCTGAGCAGGGCCCAGAAGGTGAGCGATGGGGGAGGCCTGGCCCTGGGGGTGGGCTGAGGGGGGCTTGACTGCAGCTGCTCCGACCATCTTAAAGGGAACAGGCAATGTCAGAACCTCGAGAGAAATAGGAAAGAGCCAGAAGCAAAGGACAAAGAAGCAAATGGGAAGACAGATCAGAGTTTAGAGCAAGGAAAGGGAAAATATGGAGGAGAGACTTTACCAAGGGCTTGAGGCGGCATTCTGCAGAATGCTTCAGCCCTGGCCAGCTTGGCACAGTGGTTAGAGTGTCCTCCTATGCACCAAAGGGTCACGGGTTTGATTCCCCGTCAAGGGCACGTACCTCGGTTGCAGGTTCGATCCCAGGTCACGTGGGGGAGGCACCCAACGATGTGTTCCTCTCACATGGATACTTCTCCCTCTCTCTCCCCCTCATCCCCTTCTACTCTTTCTAAAAAATCAATGGGAAAAATATCCCTGGGTGAGGATTAACAAACAAACCAGAAAAAAAAAAAAGCTTCAAATCTTTGCATTTCAAACATGATTATCTGAGGAAAATGAAGTAACAATATAATAAGTGGAAAATCCGCTTTAAGGTAAATTGAAACCAGAGCACATATTGATAGCGCTTTGGGAACTTTTACTACTGCTTCTGAAAGCCTTCCCTCTGGTCTGTCCTCTGCTCTCAACGGAAGTCGTGTGGTGGGGGCAGTGGCCTTTGGTGGCGGGTGGCTTTGAGGCTGCTCATGAAGCTGAAACTATGGGAAGGAGACTCATTTCCTATCTTCCTGTGTTTGGGATGTTCACAGGAGGCTACACAAAGTAAAAAGGAGTGTGTGAGCACCAAGCTAATGGCAGAACAAGAAGTGGTTTTATTTCGCCAACAGCTACTGGCCCTGAGGCAGGCCCTGGCCCGGGCTCAGGCCCACAACGTGAGGATGTGCGAGCAGCGGGAGAGCCAGGTATCTGAGCCCGGGCCCTGCTCTGCAAAGCAGAATGTGGCCCCTGGAAGCCGCTGGTGCTGCCTGTGGCAGTCACCGGGGCTCCTCGGTGTGAAGCCAAGCAGACAGCATGGCCAGAGAAAGATGGCCCAGGTCTTGGCTTCCCTTCTCCCTCCTTTCCAGCCCAGAAACCAAGCGCAGTGGCCAAAAGGCTTTCGTTCTTATTCATATTTGGCTTAGATGGTGAAATGTTACTTATACATAAGATTATTTAAGAGTGTGTGT